CCTTCCTACTCGATGCCTCTCCAGTAGTAAAGACCTGATGCGGTACGTCTAGAGAATAGGCTATTCTCATGAAGCCTTCTGATGACTGTTTCAGAATTCACCCTTACATTAAGGGCGTTTCGATTTTACTACTTATCAAGTAGTTGTCAAATGTCGTTTCAGTAGTGCGGTAAAAGCAATAAAACGATCGTTTCTAGTCGTCTGGGGATCGACGACCTTCTTTTCGATCGAAACCTGGCCCCCAACCGTTGTAGACCCTCGTGGATGGTATTGGGTTGTCCGGAAAATAATGCAGGATTTTGGTATTAAACAAAAAAAAAGAAACTAGTTACTTTAAAGCAATGTTCTTTAATCAAAATAATTTCCCATACTCTCNACATTCATACAAATGAGTAATCCTGTAAACGTAAACAGAATATTTTATATAGATTTTTTTTAATGAAAACTTAAAATCCTGCATTATTTTCCGGACAACCCGATAGAAGATCTAGGACTTGAGCTCTGTAACAGATACTTCGCTTGCCGTTGGCCAAAGCATCTTCAGGCGAGATCTATACTCAAAATCGCCCTTTTAAGAAAAAAATTAATAATCTTTTTTACTCAAATTTATTGTTTTATCAAAGAAAACAATTAAAAAACCAATTAACTCACTCACAAGTTGGATCAGGAAAGGATAAAATTGAACTGATTTTCATTTTTTCTAAAGAGTGTAAAAGGATTAGTAGCTTTATAAAGGTAAACAACATGTTATTAATGTAGTGGTTACGTTTTAAGTCAACTATTGATATTTGTACCTAGTTATTATAGAAAATAAACAAATAAATACAAGTGCCCGGGGTTTTATGTCTTTGAGTGTGTATTAATTATTACCAGGTTTTGATCGTTACAACTCTGGGCGTTGCGTTTTGTAAAACGTATACACACTAGTGTTTTAATTAACAATTATAAAATATTAATATATGTAAAGAGTGCCCACCATATCTCCGTAGTGGAATATTCAAAGGTTAAAAATGAATATGTATGTGTCAGGTATATCATGTCGACAACAAACATTAAAACATGGTGCGTATCTAATACAGAAGAGTGTAAAAGTGAAAATCATTATAGCGATAGTTCAACAAATTTTGAGCTTGTTTTGATACCATCTTCTACATATTGATGTCAAAAATATTAGATTATGTTGAAATCATACATTATGACTGCAATATTTTACAAAAAAAGTGTTTATGAATAATTTAAACTAGTTACTAATGAGTAATTACTACTTATTACCAGCGGATATCGCAGGTGTGAACAAAATCAGTTCAAATTAATTAATGGGAAAAAAACGTCAGGTATTTTTGTGACTAATAATTTGAATATGTATGGCTTTTTTCATCCTGAAAGAAAAATTTATTAAAACAGCAAAATAATCGGAAGAAATATGCGGAGTTGAAACAGGGGTTTAGATAAGTTAAACAGGGGAAAGAATATATTATTGTTATTAATTCCAGTTTGGATATCATCTCCATTTATCCCAACAATTAACAAATTATGAGTCAAAAAATCATCCGAGTAGTTCAAACGAGTAAAAATATTTCGTTCGTACTTGCACATTGTCCTTGCATAAAGAACATAATTTATAAAATTAAATTTGAATGTGTATGCCTTTTGTGCACATGACATTGGACATTTTCTAATAGGAAATTTGGTGGTGCATGATTACAAATAACGAAAAAGATATATATTTAAAAGAACGGTGTACAGTAATTTAAAAACTTGGCAATAAAGTGGAAAGGAGATATGGGAGTGTCTTGTCCACTGAGTAAGTGTATTAACTATTTTCAAGTGCGTACGTAAAAAATTACGTTGGTGAGATCGTGTTTTAACCAATTCCATCTCAATCTGAGGACCAGGTTGGGCTGTCCCGGATTTGGACCAAACTTTTTTTGGTGATTCTACACTCCACACACGTCTACGCCACTTCTGGCCCTTTTGAAAAATTTGATAGCTTTTATTATTTTTTTTTGCAAGCTACATTGCTCTTCTTTGAAATGATATGTTTGGCGTTAAAATCCTTTTAGACGTTTTTGAATTATAACCGTTTCATAACATTTAGGGGTTAAAAAAATCGATAAATTTAATTTAAAAAAATATATATATATATATTTGGAATAAAAATATAGCAAAAGCTATCAAAATTTATCAATAGCCTAAATATTTCTAAAAACCAAATATTTTTAAAGTAAACTAGGTCATAAATTTATATATATAAATTAATATATATATATTTAGAGGTCTCTAAAGCTCTAAAACGAAATTTAATATTAGTTTCACGAAAAAATTTATGACCTAGTTTACTTTAAAAATATTTGGTTTTGAGAAATATTTAGGCTATTGATAAATTTTGATAGCTTTTGCTATATTTTTATTCCAATCTATATAAAAAATGCTGTAAAATTATATATTCAAATAGTTGATTTGAGTAAGTAGAATGGCGAAATAAAAATATTAAAAAACGGCAAATTTCAACTTTCAAAATTTTTTGGGCAAAACCAGGTCCTATTCACAAGAAATGGGGATACGTGTGAGATATTTTGGAGTGTAGAATCACCAAAACAAGGTGGGTCCAAATCCGTGACCCACCAACCTGATCGTCCTCTTGTAAGTTTTCCTCCAAGAGTTATTTGAATATTTGTTTTTAGAAATTTTTTGGTTATTAACAAAATGTGATAGCTTTACTATTTTTTATTGCAAGCTACATTGCTCTTCTTTAAAATCCTTTTAGCCGTTTTTGCGTTTAGTCGTTTCAAAAAAATCGGATAAACTTTAGGGATTAAAAAATCGATAATTTAATTTTTTTTTAAATTATATTTAGGAGTAAGGAAATTTCATATTAGTTTCACGAAAAAATGAATGACCTAGTTTACTTGAAAAATATTTGGTTTTTAGAAATATTTGGGTTATTGATAAATTTTGATAGTTTTTACTATATTTTATTGCAATCTATATAAAAAATGGTGTAAAATGATATATTTACATATTTGATTTGAGCAAGTAGAACGGCGAAATAAATATTTAAAAAACGGAAAATTTCAACTTCCAAAATTTTTTGGGTGAAAACGCGGCCCATTTACAAGAAATGGCGAATACGTGTCCGATATTTTGGTGTGTAAAATCATCAAAAATGGTTTGATCCAAATCCATAACACAAAAACGTGGTCGTTCCCTTGAAAAATGAAATACAACATATTAAGGAGTACACTTATTGGACGATATCACAAATGAAATATTGTTGAAATGCACAAATAACCTGGTTTCTCCTTTAACTCACTTTTTTGATCTCAGTATATCAGAAGTTTTCTTCCCAAGAGCACTTAAAACCTCATCTATAATTCCATTCTTCAACGGAGGTGACAAATCTCTCAACTAATTACAGACCGATTACCTTTACAATATCAAACTTTTTGAGAAACAAGTTTTAAAAAAAGAAATGTGCTTTTTAGAAAAATAAACAACATTAACCGATCAACAACATGGCTTTCGCAAAGGACTGTCCACCTAACCATAGTCTATAAGGGATAAGAAGATACATACGTAAAAATGTCGATAAATTCGTAATAGGTTTATTTATTGACATACAAAAAGCTTTTGTTTCGGTTTGGCATGATCTTCTATTTAGTAAACTTGAACACTATGGAATAAGAGGATTACCATTAAAATTTCTCAAATCAAACATAACAAATAGAGAACAAAAAGTTAAAGTGAATCATAGGTCAAAAAGATAAAGTGAATAGCAAAAAACGGAATATTTCAACTTTCAATTTTTTTCTGAAACCAGGTCCTAGTCACAAGAAATGGCGGATACGTGTAAGATATTTTGGAGTGTAGAATCACCAAAAAAAAAGATTAGTCCAAATCTCTGACCAAGCAACCTGATCTTCCTCTTGTAACTCTCACTCCAAGGTAGAGAAGAAAAAGAAGAAATTATACTACGAAAGAAAATAATACGTGATTCATATTAGTTTCACGAAACAATTAGAAATTTTTGATTTATTAATACATTTTGGTAGCTTTTAGTATATTTTTATTGCAAACTACATAAAAAATGCTGCAAAATGATATATTGACGAAGTCGATTTGAGCAAGTTTTTCAAATCAAAATTATTTATTTACTGTCCTTACACATGTATATATATTTACAAGTTAGAAAGAAGAGAACCAGTAATGACACTTTACCTCTACTAACAACTTAAATGTTGGGAAAACTGGACTACAAAAACCCAACCTTGAATTGCAGCAAGAAGAACGGTGAAATAAAAATATTAAAAAAACTTAAAATTTCAACTTTCAAACTTTTTTTGGGCAAAACCAGATCCTAGTCACAAGAAGTGGCGGTTTGGAGTACGATATTTTGGAGTGTAGAATCACCAAAAAAAGTTGAGTCCAAATCCGTGACCCACCAACCTATCGTTCTCTTGTAAGTCTTACTCCAACAGTTATTTGAATTGTTTTTAGAAATTACAAGATGAAAAATTGCAACAAATTATCATTATAACCGTATAATACCGATAGAATTGTTCATCAGCAATAACAATAACAAACCAATTGTGAATCTTTTCCTAAATCGTGTTTATCAGTTAAAAAATGTGTATCAAAGCCGTCAACAAGAAATATCACGGCATGCGGGTGTAATACCAAAACAAACACACCAGCCTTCAGAACGCCCATTCCTGACACTTAAGTTTGTCGTGTGTGTACATACATAAAATATATATTCATATATTTGAATATTATATTAAATATTAATTGAATAGTGTCAAAGGATTAAAACTGTTTCAAATTCGTATCTTAGCGGCCCTTTTAAAGAGTAGAATAACGTTTTTGTGATAAAATGTTATGAAATAGAATTTTATCGTATGTCTACTGCAATATTACGAATACAGTTGTTTTTTATTCTATTAAAATTTGCAAAAAAAATTAACTAATTTAATAATTTGTACTGCGTATAATGTACTGACCGGAAAGAAATGCAAGGGGAAGAACAAACCCTTGCAGGAGAAAGGACACCACCCAGCGTGTCATTCTGCCCTGGAACAAAGACAGTGAATAGAAGTTAAATAATTTAAAAAAAATGGGGGAAATTGAGTTTAGAAATGAAAATATTCAGGAGAAAAAGTCAAACTTACGCGCTTCTTCCGAACAGACGGGAACTTTCCTTCCTTCTAATCTTCACATATCCAAATATGAAAAATCCGCCCCCGGCGACTTGTCGTGCGACATTCTCACAAACCACTTTCGACCGATTGTCATCCAGAATTAGTTTGATTTACGATGAGAGCGCACTTACAGAGTACGCCTTGGTGGACGGGAGGATCGCGGACTGACGGATGAATGAGAGCTCACAGCTGAGGCGAGTGATTGTGGAGGGGGGGGTCTCGTGGAATCGAGTTTCTTCCCATCGATTCTCGATACGCTAACCTTACTTGTTAGTTGTTACTACTCCGTCGGGATGGCGTTTACCTTTAACGGCTTGACGACACGTGAGTTTTGTTTTTTCAATAAACATTTATTCACGAAAGGGATTCGGGTGGATTTTAGACCGAAAAGGGATTTTTCACACGAATTAAACATTGGTATAACAATTTCAATAAAGAGTCCCGCTAGCATAATGCGACAGACCCTAAATTGAATTTTCATAATCATTTCTCAATAAATCCAAGTTGTTTGTTTAAAAACTACACCAATATTATTAGATGTCAAGCCTTCAGGCAATAATCATCAAAGAGGCCAGAAGAATAAAAAACATTAACGGCGTTGTAAGTACTTACAGTATTAGTACAGCACAATGCCCGGTTTTATTTTAATTACTCCTAAAAACTATCAAATAAAATGAATCTATAAGAATTTAACATTCCTCTGATGTGGTTGTCAAAAAGATTTGTCTGACGTTGGCCCTGTATTTGTCACAAGTACAAACTTGATTCCCTCTACTTTGGCAAGTTTGGAAAACTAAACCAACATGAATAGTTGATAAGTGGAAACCAATCTTAAAGAGTTTTTATTATTTCCAATTAGCAAACTATTTGATTGTTATGTGTATCTTAAAAACCAATCATATTTTAGTATAAAGTGACAGGTATAAGCATAAACTCTAATGACTATGATTTTTCGGAAATTGTGAGATGCTTTATTGAGATCATCTTCAGGGCCTGGGATTTACAAACATTGTCACAAAACGTTGGCATGATAAAGAAAATGTTTTTCTGAAACCTACATCACACTAGTCCGCATCTCACAATCTCCAAATAGTCATTAACTAACAGTCACTAAACACCGCACATAAACTCTAAGGTCGCAAATAGAAACTCAATTCCCTTTACTTTGGCAAGTTAACCAACATGATTAGTTCCCTAAGATTGTCTTTAAAATATAATAATAAAATAAATTCTCATAATGTTTTTAGAACTGTTGGAAAAACTGAGCGATGGGAACTTGCCAACAGATAAGAAGTTGGAGTTGTGTAAAATTGTTTTTACCTCTCCATCAATACCAATATTGCAGAAGGAGGATTGCATCCTGGATTATCTGTCAGTCGTACTTAAAAGTGAGAATGTCAATGGCGATGAGAGGATTTGTTATTTTGAATGTCTCAAAGATTGCCTCTCTAGTGGGAGGATGAAAGATTTCAGAGGTAGTTTGAGACCTGGTGTGGTCGATGGTGTCCTTCAGGTGAGTTTGATTTCACAAATTAGTGGTCATTTAGTATATTAAATTTATTTTAGGTTATTGGGAATTTTCGAGAACATGAGGAATTCAAAATCGCTAGCGAGTGTATCATTAATTTATTAAGCACACCATATTTTCAAAGGTGGCTGCGCTGTGATGTTTCCGGCCTTTGTAAATTGTTGGGTTCCTTCTTTAATAAAGTTACCGCTACTTCCTACTTAGAGTGTATAAAAGTACTATCTCTATGCCTTAATATCCATCGTATAACATTACTGAGAGATGACTTCAGAGAACACTTCATAAATGAAACATATTTCTCCCTTGCTTACGCATATTCTATTGTCAAAGATGATGAGTACAATTCATTCAGATCAAAAGCTGTCAGCTGTATTATTAAGGTAATTTGAACTTTAAACATTTAAAAGCTAGAAATTAAATTTCAATTACATTTTCAGATCCTTTTGTGCGATAAGAGTTTCATTGGCGACTTTATAACAATTATGCAATTGCATAAATCAGATGAACTGAACCAAGATGAGGCTAAAGATATCAAAGCTTTTTGTAATAAAATGAAGAAACTTCCTAGTAATTGTAATGTAGATGTCGTGTCAGCTTCTTTAACATTATTTCTTTATGCAGTAGCGCAGAATGATGTAAAACAAGAAAATTCAAAGCAAGTATTTAAGGTTTTTATGGCTCTGTGTAAAGTGCTTGGAATCCGCGTTGATAGAATAGTTTCAATTTCGATCAGTCCTATCAAAAAGTGGACACACGAAGAATCTTTCGAAGTCATTGGAAACATGATAGATGTGTTATCTGAATCCAACCTTCCTCTGTGTATTGATTTTCAACTATTCACATCACAGACATGGATGGTCAGCTTGGTCATTGGCATGACCAATATCAATTTGTCCAATTTAACGCCACAGTTATTAAAAATGGTTAAGAAAGCTTTTCATTTTAATAACCTAATCATTGAACCTTGTCTTAGAGTCATAAGCAATATTGTGTTGCGTAATAAAACTGACTTAGTGAAGCCTCATTACGTAGACTTAATGAAAACTGTATTTGAAGGAGCATCAAAAGCACAAAGGTTCCAAAAAATCATTACTCTCTTTTTGGCTCAAATCAGAGACGTTTTAATCGCATTTTCTCAAACACTTGACATAGAAGATATTTTCCCAAAAGAAGTCGCAAAAGCATTTTCGAACACGATTCTTACTCTTGCCCACTCGCAAGTCTTGGTTATTATGAAATCCTTCCTTTTTCATCTGGAGCATGATTGTTTAAACTTTATTCAGAGTGGATGCATAGGTAAGAAGTAAATTTTTTTAACTTGACAAATTATTGTATTTTTTTTTTTCCTTCAGATTCTACAGTTGTAACTAATACTGAAATAATTTGTACAATGATTAATCAGCTATTTAAAGTGGTGAAAATAGCAGATCACAATACACCTGATGTCGTAAAAGCTAAGTTTAACAATTTGTTGGATGACCTTAAAACTCAACTGCAAAAATTTGGTGAAATTTTCACATGTTGCCATGTAAGTGAAATGAAAAATTGAAAATTTATACTTAAACAATAAACAATAGTGTTTAAATTCAAATAGTTGGATCATCTTTGATATGCTGTTTTTCCTACCGTTCAGTGGTTGAACCATTGTACGAACAACAGCTGATTCCCAAGTAAATCAAGGATGGCAAACCTCCTTCAGTTATTTAAATTTAAAAAATAAAAAATTCACGTTTCAGAGCAAAACCGGAAATAATAGGCAGTCAAGTATGATTAGAGATGATTGATCACAAGTTCAACCCCTTGCTGATTGCATCACAAGTCTTTTCTATCTTTAACAAGTTGTTTTTTTTCTAGCATGATAATTTGATTAAAGCTTACTTAAGTATATGCCATTCTTACGGTGCAATGAAACTCATGATTGAAGAGTATGAGGGCTGCCCATTAAAAAAATTAACAAGCAACGATTTAAATCCAACAAACCTGTGTTTTGTACATCCGTATTTAGATCCCAGTGCTTGGAACATAATTGTTACAAAGATAGTAGAACATGATGGCTGTTTAGCTACACCAGAATTGGTAAATATTTATTTTAAAAAGCATATAATTTTAATCAACACGTTTAAAATTAAAACAGAAATGTAAATAATTTTTAGTACAAACTGTTAATCCAAAAAATAGAAGCTGTGTCACAAATTGAAGAAGGGTGTGAAGGACCTGGAACCCAGGCTTCCAGGTTGGTCCTTGAAATAGCTGAAAATTCTTGGCTGTGGGATGAACTGATCGGACTTTCAGGGCTTTTTGAAGCGAAAGAGCTTTTACGGTTAATTCGTAGGTTGGTGCATGAATGTGGAAACGATCAGTCAAAATGGAAAACAATTGTTTCTAACGAGTTGTTCAAAGAAGACAGGTAGAGAAAATGTATAAAAGAAACTAAATTCATCATACTAATTTTCAATATTAGGAGATTAGTTCTAGCTACAGCGATTAGGCTTTTGTACAAAGCCTCAAAAATTATGAATCATTCAGATGGTACAGTTTCCTTTGATGTAACAGCTTATGTACCAGATGAAACACTTTTAGAATATGAACTAGCGCTTCTAATAACTGATGATGTCGAACTAGAAGAAGAGATTGTTAACAGTATTACTGCAATGGTTTCAACATTGGAGCAAGCGCTTCTTACAGAACAGCCAAAAGTTCTTCCTAGCAATATCCCTCATATAAGGTGATTTCTCATTAATAATTATTGTAGTACTGTAATTTAAAAAAAATTAAATAATAGTTAAAAAACTAGTTTTTTTGAGGTTCTTGAGCAACTTCCATTGCATTGTATGTCAGTACTTAGTCAAAGCTGTATTTTCCACTCCGTTCTCGCATTGCTCTATGATTTACCACCAAATCAAGATGTGGATAATATCCTATTTGATATTCTTTTAAGTAAGTTCATTTATTTTTTCTAACATTTTCCTCGCTCAGTTCATCCTCAGTATTTTTTTTCCAGGACTTATTGTCGCTTCCAAAAAGTGTGGGTCTAAACTTTTAGGAGGCCTCGATGTTGGTGTTTTGTTTATTTTTGTAGTCGACAGATCAAAGGAGTATCCTATGAAAACAGAACTACTGCAGAAGATCTGCAGCCTTTCTCTTATGGAAAAACCAACTGCTAAACAATTGCTCAATCGTGTTTGTGAACCTTCAAAAGACGATCTTTGGTTGACAACAATGGTCATTCAGTCGCTTATGCAGGTGCTTTATATTTAACACAATTTTATTTATAAGCATGGGGAAAAATGTTCGTCGTATTTCTAGAAACAAAAGAAACAAATAAGTAGTGATGATGAAAACAACAGATCAAAACCTCTCAATAGGGAGAAATGTATTTCTAGACTGGTTTCCCTCTGTATTCCAATTTTGGAGAATGAAGAACCACATACTAATTTACTGAATGGTTATACAACAGTTTTAAAATGGATCCTTTCAAAAGAAGAAACTCAACAGTTAAAACCATTAGTGCCTAAACTTGATAAATACGTAGAAATTGCTGTAAGTTTTTGATTTGTTTATGTAAGTTTTTTCTTCTTATTTTTTTTTTTATAAATCTTCATTTTTAGATGGCAAATTACAAATTGGGAGTTCAATTGATAAGCACATTAATTACATATAGAAGTGATGTTGGTAATTTTTTGCCAAGCAATATTCTAACTGAGACATGGAACCATTTTCTGTTTATATCCGAAGAACAGCCGGATGAAAATTTAATACATCTCCTTTTGACAAAATCCACAATTGATGAATATGAGAAACTAATGTCTCTCCTATCTCAAGGAATTGTATGTAATTAAAAATTTTATTATATTGCCATCAGTTAAAATTAATTTGCTCCTTTACACAGGAAATGCAGGTTGGAGATAAGTGCAACGAGAAAATATTGAACAAAACCATTACTATCATGAACCACGTAGTCACTTGTGGATTAGAAAAATCTGAAAAATCGCGCCAACGGGAAAATATCATTTTACAATTGGTTAAACCATTTATTGAAATCATTGCATTATGGCCATCTAAAGGCCTTGGAGTTGAAGCCATTTTAGAATTTTTCACCAATTTGGCTCCATCCACATACGTAAATGAGTTTACAAACTTATACTAAAATAAATAAACTTTTTATTTATTTATTTATTTTTTTACAGATTGTTTTAAGACCGGCCATTTTAGATTTGGATTTATTAGCACTCAGTTCAGTACCGTTACCGAGTGAAGATAAAAGTACTCTTCTTAAAAATTTAATACTGGCTGTTAAAGCCCTTTTTGCGTTGTACCTGTTCAGAACGAGCCTTATGTTGGATCGAATTCCCATCCTGCTACAAAGATACAGACAATATTTGGAAGCCCTGGCTCCTTGTGGACATCCAAATAATAGCACCAACATTATTCTTGAAGCAACTGATTGTGCTGACAAACTAGAAAGGTTTGTTTACTATCTTGTTAATTTTTAGTAGCTAGAAATTATAATAACAATTTGTTTTAGGTTTGCTAAAACAATGGCCAAAAGGCAAAGGGATTTTACAAGAATAGCTCCTTATATGGTTGCAGATTTGATCAATATATTTGAAAGGCATCAGTTGCATGTTGATGTTAAGGTATTCCATTTAAATTTTATTTTTTATCTAGAATTTTTATTTTTATTTTAACTCTTATCTTGTAGCTGGTGTACACCAATATCGCCAATGTCTTTTTAAATCTGTGTGATAGTCATGGAATAACTTACCTTAAAGCTGTTTCATCGCCTGCATTGTTTAATACAATATATGATAACTACAAGAAATATTATAGATATGTTGGAAAAATTTAATTGTATATTTTTTAAATTAGTTTAACATTCTGTTTAATTTGTTTATTGGTTTCTGTATATAATTTTTTCTTTTTATAAAGATACATGATTGAAAATACACCATGTTGACAAAGCTTAATTAGGTGTTTGTCCTAATTTTTATCCCTTGTATTTTTTTCCTTGCAGCTTTTGAGTTTGTCAATTCAGCCATTCAAGCATTGTATTTTCTTTTGTAAGCGAAGAAAATTTTTTTGTGCATATCAATGACTATCAGGAAAACTTATTTCGATGTTTACATGCGATAAGTAGGTGTCATTTAATATAATTTACCCCTTAGCAGAGTATGTTCTCTTACTTTAGGAGATGAATGTATTTATTAGCGAGAATGTTGGATGAATGAGTATTAATGAAAACAGAACTTTCGACAGAACATTCAGTATATACACCGATAGGAGAATGTATTACATTTGCTTATTTTATTAACAAACAATGAAAAGGAACGAAGTAGAAAAATATAGTATTAGAAAAAAAAGAACCAAAATGAATGTAATGTAAGGAAAGAACAACATTGAATTCTTGCCAAATTTTACAAAAAATACTCAAACATGTATTTAAAAGAATATAATATAGAAAATTAGAAAATAATTGTGATGAACAAAGTGTAAAGGCTCACTGAAGATGGTGCTTTCGTTGGTGCCAGTGGAGAATCTTTACAGAGTAATATTTGAAATTATCTTTGTGAACATCTAAGGTAGGGTTCACACTAGAGTGATAAGATACACGTCTTTAGATCATAAGCAATATATGATAATTGTCTTGAAATATACACAACCCTCAGGCCTATAAAAAGCATGATGGAACTACGGAATTAGTACACACCTGTATGATTGTGGCATTTGTCGTAAGATACTGTATCAAGAGTCATGGCCTGCTCTTCCTTCAATGTCATACAATATTGCAAAGGGTGAAGATGACAAATTCAAAGAGTGAGAACATTGGCTGCCTAGCTCGTGTCTTATTGCTTTGGTATGAACCTTACTTATCTTAAGATAAAAACTGTGTAGTATCTAATGTTCTGCGATAAATATCTTACTGCTCAGCTGTGAACCCGGCTTAATAGACAACTGAGTTATTTACACAAACTTTAGTGAGTTCATGAATGCATTTTAAGAAGACGATTGCCTTCTTGCTGTTGGTTATTTATTTATTTTTTTAATTATTATTGTTGTTGAAGAATAGAAAAATTACATTGTCATTGCCATTCCCATATATTTTCTAAAGAAGAGGGAAATGTACAATCATATTTAAGAAAAAGTATGCTATTGAGGAAACCAGGCTAGTTTTTTTTCTTGATAATTGACATCTGCCATTAACCTGGAGGGATTTCTAGCGAAGGTGTAGGTGATTTTATATACAAATGAAAGGGTAACTCCAAAGAGTAAATAAAAGTTCACATAATCTTATCAAAGGTTACAAAGAAGGGAATATAATATTTTCTTATCATTGAAAAGTAGTTTCAACAATTAAGTATAAAGTTATTCCTTGATATCCTTCTCAATAGACAAGATGTGAAGTTAACACATAACGTACCTTGTTGAACTGAGCTCCAGCCGACAAGAATTCTACACAAGCAGTTTTTTTTTAGTCTTTGAGAATGTCACACTTTTTGTACTTTCTTTTTTTACCGCTGCAAGCGAGCAACCGTAACTCCAATCTGTGTGGCCTCCCCACCACCCTGCCTTTCTGCCTCTTCAATCATAGGAACTCTCTGCCTTATTGATATAACACAAGACACAATTCATTGGCTAACTCACATTTTTAAGGGGAACATTATTCAAAATTTCAACAACTACAAAGAAGGTAAAAAAATTAAAATTTTAAATTGTAGTTAAGATATTCTAAAGCCAAGACTTAATTTTTTCATGCTACATGTTTATTCTGTATTATGTTTATTTATTTGTTTGTTTTTCATTATGATTTTGTAAAGATATATTCTGTTTATTTCACTGATGATCTCCAAAAACCGCTGCTTTCTAGTACAAGCTTTGCTTTTTGACAGCAGACGGGGATATACATTAAAACAGAAGTCCAAGATAAAAGCTAGTTTATTATAAATTACATTACTTAGGAGTCCTGGCTATAAGAATTGAAGCAACAGCTGTTAATGACTGCCTACAGAAAATAAGGATCGAGTCAATTGAACTAAACTATGGAACTAGACAAAGTGCAGTAATACATGCATCATAGCATTACCTTATCGTCATCATCAGAGGTGTTCTACAAGTTGAAATTAAATTCGTACAAATAAATATAATAAAAAATTAGTTTGTACAGTGCAATAGGTTTTCATGCTCTCTCCATTCTCATGTCTTTATTGATTCTTACAATTTTTTAAAATGTTTTACAGCTAATTTGTAAAGACAATGACATCTTAACTATTATTAAGTATATTGAAATTGCATAAATGATAAAACGAAAAAGTGATGCAAAATTGAGCACTTCTGCAGGAGTGTAGGGTGCAGGTGACAGGACGTTGGTTAGCGGCATTATATACAGAGTGCACCACAATCACTAGACCCCTGCTTCTCGAATCTCGCGGATCAGTCTTGGCCGGGAGTTTCCTCGTGCCACAGCTCCGTCAAACTTTCTGTGGCACATTTTTGTGATTTGTTTTTCGAGATAACTGCCGTGAATTTCTAGTGTCAAGTGGTCACGATGCCCGGCTCCCAGGAACAGGACGGCGCCGATTCCGACGGTTCGATAACATGGGAAGATTTTTTCGGTAATGACTTTTTTTGCAAAAAATTTACTAATAATTAATACTCATATAATTATCAGTTTAAATTTGGTATTTTTCATAATTAAACATGCTCGGAAAAAATTGCAGTGCTAAAGGTCTTCCGAATTGGTTTTTGAACACCATAAAACTTAATGCCGGTCAGGACCATCAGATGCATCAATTGCTGCATTAAAATTTTAATTTCAAATTTATTGGCAGTCGTTTCTTTAAATTTTCTTGAGACAGATCCTTAAGAAAAATTCCATTTTACCATTATTTTTCACATCGAAATCGCGACTCCTCTTTGTTTCCAATAGAAGAGTTAGTCACTGGTCCATTATTGCAAAAAAAAAAAAAATGGCGTTGAATCACGACAAAAAAGTTCCAGGTGGAAGATTTAATTAAGAACATAGGCACATTAAGGCATAACCTAAAATTTTGGAAATCCTTGCATTTTAAGGTTGTTGAACATAAATATTGACTCAAATGACAATTTTAACAAGTATAATGCCATAACGTGACAAAAATTCTTTATTTAGACCAGTTTAAAATTTGTTAAAAATATATATGAAAAATTTGGAACTGGTGACGAGAAAGGAATCACGTATCAATATAAAGTCAACATCATATAAGACATGTCAGCACATAGAACCAAATCTTACTAACCATTCACCATAAAGACAGTGTCTAATGTAGGATTTTGATTTTTTTTAATTATATTGGACAAGGTTCAAGAGGAAGTACATATTAAGTAATATATTTTTTCCCTACATAAAGCAAATATTTTTATACATTAATGTACAACGTAATCAACGACAAAGCCTAGACTAAAATTTTATAAATCGAGGTATTTTAAGGTTGCTGGGCAAAAACATTATATTTTAATTAATTAGATACTTAGATCACAAATTTAACAAGACTCATGTCGTAAAATAACAAAAATTCTTTATTTACACCAATTCGATACTTGTTTTAAAAATTAAAGACTACTTTGTGTGAAAGTGTTTTTTTTCGTAGTCTCCATCTTTGGAATAGAGTATAAAAAATAAATTTTCATAGAATAAGAACAACAATATTACCAAGATAGGATAGTAGTTTTTATGATTTTAAGTAATTTTTAAATATATGAAAAATGTAATTAGTGACAAGAGCATTTTAAATATTTTATTCGGAATAACATCCAAGCTGGGTAATTACAAAGATATCAGTTGCACTGATGTTCGTGATAATGTTGTCTCTGATAATGTTGGTTTTTGATTACGCTCAATTGGGTTTGCATTATGACCATGCACCCACTTAATTATATTTAGCTGTATATTTAACCACAACTGATTTTATATTTGAATTTAATTGGGAATTCTTGTTTCGTGAATTTTTGGAGGACTGGATGTGTTGTCTGATGTGGTTGATGGAAATAAACCTGGTTTTCCTTTTCGAAAGGTGATTAATTTTTTTTGACATGGTGAAATTTATCAGAATTGCAAGAATTACGAGAAATTGTAAAGGAATGAGATCATATTTCAATTATTTATAAAAATGTAATTTTACAAGTAAACATTTTCTGTAATTTGGTCGTATCTGATCATTTTTGTCTCCATTTCTTCATGAAAAGCATGTGACGATTAACCATTTTCTTCTAGACACCTAATATTATTATAAAAAATATTAATTATTATACTTCAGAACAACAAACACAAATCCTAACTCCAATCTAAAAAGGATATAATGAAAATAAAATTATACATTATTCTTCCTAGTCAAATTTGTGATAGATGAAAAAGGACCACACCTTCGAAAATGTAAAATTAAATTTTACAAGTAAAAATTTTTTGTATTTTGGAGGTTTCTAATTCATTTGGTCTCCGTACCTTCAAACAAGCATTTGGCAGTTAACCTATTAGTTACTTTTCTTTTATAAACCTAATGGGGCCAACTTTTTTCTCTTTTAATTAGAAATGCGAGAACTCCCAGAAATTGTCAAGGAATGAGGTCGTAGATTAATAATTTACAAAAAAAAGTCGTAAACATTTTCTGTATTTTGGTCGTTTCTGATCAATTTGGTCTCTCTTTTTTCATGAAAAGCATCTGACAGGTAACCATTTTCTTTGGTAAACCTAATAAGACCAACTTTTTTATTTATTTTTTATTTTATTTTATTTATTTTTTATTGCAAGAACGCCCAGAAATTGTCAAGGAATGAGGTCGTAGGCCAATAATTTATAAAAAAAAGTTAATTTTCATTTTACATGTAAACATTTTCTGTATTTTGGACATTTCTGATTAATTTGGCCCCCTATCTTCATGAAAAGCATGTGGCCCAACTTTTTATCATAGTCTACCGAAAAAATATATTAAGGTTTACAAAAAACCAGGTATTTTGTGGTAGTTTAAACTCCAATCATAAAAGGGTTTAATCAAAATAAAATCATTCATTTATTCTTCCTGGTCAAATTTGTCGAGCAAAGATGAAATAGTCCACCCCCTCGAAAATTCGTTTGCATGATCAGCTAATGGTTCAGGACTTTCCGTTTCCAGTTTTTTTCTTTGTTTATCGATTAGCCATCATCTCGGGCCCCCAAATTCTCCTGGCTCCCCCAACATTTCCCGGACAACCAAGGCAGGCAGACTCATGCATATTTAGCACCAGGTACATACATAATTTACATACATTACCTTCCATTGGTAATTTATCTTTTAATACATTGAGAATATAATTTAAATAGGCGCACTCTCGACAATTTATATGGAGTTAAGGAAGGTTAATTAGTTAAATTAATCCCGTAGATTTGTTTTAAGTATTAATGTTTAATAAAAAGTTCATATTTGATTCAAGACAAAAAATTTTGGGTTTGTCGAGGAAAATACAGTTTATATAAATATATTGTAAGTCGAACAAAACCTTTTTTACGAAACAGAACCGTTAGATAATCGATCTATTGGGAAATACATAACTACTGATTGAGAGGTGACAGACAGGATGTCTCTAAATTTAAAACAGTGAAAATTGTTAGGCAACATTCATTGTATCGTGTCAATCGAATAAAATTGAAAAATGGGCACCTCAGACAGGTTTAAAAGAATTACCCTAGCCTTGATTTTGTTCTGACGTTCCTATCAATTAATATGAGTTTTCCTCTTGACTAATATTAATAAAAGTTTATTTTCAAATTGTAAAAGCATATGTATAACGCAATATTTGTACAATTCCTTTTTTCCTCCTAAAAACCTTATGAACAATTGATATAACTGTTTATTTTCACCACTATATTATAATAACTTTAAAAAATCCATTTATAAACAAACGTACAGTTAAATTTTCTTTACATTAGCCCCTAAGGGCTTTGAGCCTCTCAACGACGTCCCAAAGAGTTTTATGTTTGGCCCTGGTTATTGTGCTTGTTATTCCTCTTGAGGTCTATATATATAGTGATGAACTTTTTTTTTTGTCAGTCATTTTTGTGCCTATACTCACTCTTTTGGTTCTATCAGACATCGCCTCACTATTTTTATTTGGATGTAAGGTGGATTTCGCTATAAATGTGAAATTCATGTTTATTTTATGCTCAAATGCTACAATAACCCAAAAGAAAACCACGGTAGATGATTAAAAAAAGTAGGCTACCACCCAATACCGTCAAAATTACTGCTTTTGGGCTCACATCATTGTGCCACCTAGAGCCTTGAAGCGTGATCAGATCTGATCAATGAAAAATTAAACTGTTTTATTACATGTTGATTTTGTGTTGTTTGGTCTTGTATGATAATATTGCCTATTTACACAAAAACACGTTACAAAGGACGTAATCTAAAGTAACGCATAATCCGACGGCTGACGATGGCGACTGCTAATACGCAGACACACCAAACTAATAAAAACAACCACATTACAATATACATATTTAAGTTAGTTATATTTTAAATTGCCATAGGTTCTTCAGATTTTCGTCATTGTTTTATGTCTGTTTTATTATGTGAAACATTGCCTAGGTTCATGGTTCGTTCTTACGCCTAATTCGCTTTCTTTTGATTTTGTCACTGTATCGTCTCAGAAATCATCAATTTCTAACATATTTCAATCAATTTGATAACTCACAAGTTGTAGCTTGGGAGACTTAATCTGCACCCCATCCCTGTAGAAGAGTATAATTCTTTTAGAGGTTCAGAGATTGTGTGCACCTAGGTTGACAATTTAGTAAATTAGTAGTAAGTTAAGAGTTTTGTCAAGGTTCACCTATGAAAGACAAAGATCGGTTTGTTTCCTATCCTTCTAGAATCTTACCTCGAGTTTATTGTCGCTTTCTACAGTTAACAGCTAATCTATCGTACTGACACTTTGACTAACTTGTGCGTTAACGAAAACCAACGCACAGACCAACTACCAAGTTGACAAATGCGGTCAGGTAGACCAAAATAATCGTAAAAGACTAAACTACGTTGTATTTATCAAAGTGTGACATTTTATATAGGTGTACAATATGTTTTATATAGTCATAGATTGCTTGAATTTTCTTCTTAATTGTATTTTGTGTTTTATTGTGACAAGATTTATGGAAAAATCAGTGTTTTTATATTTCGCTGTTGTATTTTCTCCAAAACCCACGGATCGATTCGTGCTTCGGTAGTCTTGATTTAACCGGCGATGAATGGGCCAAAAGAGGGCGACGAGTGAGAAGGGCTGACTGCCCAATGAAACTCAACAAAAAAACGGAGTCGCTGCATGGAATATACTGGGCTTGGTCATAGGGTGGCAAGAACGAGGGACCATATATGAAACAGGCCCGGATCTACGTTTGTTGTGTACTTGAACAAGCAGTGATTATTTTATAAGGTCTTCTCTTTCCTCTCCAGACGAAACATCAACCAGAAGGGGAGCACGAGTGTTATCGATTGGTTTCAGAAGGGAACGCAGCCCCGAAATAATTATGAACTTACTTTATAAGCTGTATTCTCTTCTGTGCAATCGCGTTATTTAAATTGGACATTGTTAAATTTCGACAATTTCG